GGTTAAATACTGTGAGCTAAAACAAAACAACTCACATGTAACCTCTGAACCTGCTGAGGTCGTTGTTGGGGTTCTCACACTCAATACGACTGTGGAAGCTTTGAGGGGTGAAGTCTACCCCCTGGAAAACAACAGAACAATCAGATTATAATAATAATATGTGACTCATCACAACAAACTGAGGATTAAATTAAATTTGGTTAAAATGATCTTTTCAGATTCCTGCTTTTTAAGCTTTTGATACCTGGATCATCCTGATATAATGAGCAGTTCCAGACATATGGCGTAATTTATCTTCCTAATCAGTATAACTCTTTGATATTTGGTCTGAATCCTATTTTTAGTTTACTCTAATGAGTAAAATTTCATGTCATTTTAAAGAGTAAACCTCAAACTATATTTGGATATTAAGATTTACCAGCTGGAAAGAAAAAATAGCTTTATTAACTCACAGGAGAAATGATAAAAAAAATGAAGTTTCTTCTTCTGAAATTCATGTTTTTTGTAGCTACTGCTAAAGAAAAGCACTTTAGTAAAGCTTTTTTAAGATCATATTTAAGATTTTCATTAAAATGATCCATTGATATTAATATTCATTACATTATGACAAAGGGCAATTGTTGCAAATGTTTTAACTGAAACACTACATCTGTCTATTTATCCACATATAACTTTAAGACTAAATACTCAGTTCGATTTACTGGGTCATATATAAACTCAAACAGTCGATGAATCCCACCTGAACCAAGTCAAGCCCACCTCTGTTCTAGGTATGGCTGCTTGAAAACAAAACATAACCACTGAATCAGAACTTCTGCACAAAGATATAACAAAAAATAAATGCTGTTAGCATTCTTTGAATATTCCAAAAAAAATGTACTTCATTGTTTTCTAATGTAGTCTCTTAAAATCGTGCACATTTCTTCTAAAGATGGTTGAATTTAGACCAAAACTACATTTAAAAAGCCTTCCATCGCAGGTTAAAAAGGCACCGTTTACCTGGAGAGGGAGGTCTGAAACCACCTGTCTCTGTTTCAGGTTGGTCTCTCCGTCCAGGTTTGCCGTCTCAATGTAACAAACCCCATGGGGGTCAGAGGAGTACAGCAGCAGCAGGTCAGCAGGGATGATTTCATTACAGGACAGCTGMACAAAGTCTCCGACCCGCACATCCTTCCAGCACCGGTCCATGTAGGCATTCTGATTTCTGATGGATAAAAACAAGGACAGTGGAATATTTATTAAAGTCATAAGTGCAAAGACGAAGAAGTTCCAAGGTTTTTGGGGTGGTAAAGGTTACTGAATAAATTTMTTAGGTTTAGGGTTCAGTTTGTAGGTGATTTACACCTGTAAGTTATAWTACAGTCATGAACAAGGTTATATGCAAAAAATGAATAAATAAATCAACTTCCTCATCACAACATGAAAACCTGGAAACTCTAAAGCTCAGTTATAATTATGGGCTAACCCAGAAAAACAACCACTAAATATTTCAAACCAATAGTGCTGAGCTACATGCTCTACTATTACACATTCTGACCTGTCATTTTTAATGTAATGTTTTATATTCCAGGTTAACTCCAATTAAAGTCAAATGTATTGTATTTTTCAGAGTTGTAAAGTAACTAAATACAAATACTTTGTTATTGTACTTAAGTAGAATTTTTGGGTATCTGTGCTTTACTTGAGAAATTATTTTCAGCCTACTTTTTACTTCTTCTTACATTTTCACACAATTATCGGTATTTTCTACTCCTTATATTTTTTTTAAAAGGCAAGAAGTAGACAGTCGTTACTTCTATTTCATTTTTGCTTGTTTTCATTCCAGCTTGTTGCTGTAAAAATAAATAAATACTATCCATAAAAAATGTACCCCTATCAGTTCAATATAACAGAAAGATCCAGGACATGACTCTACCTATTTTGTTGCATCATCAGGAAGGGGTCTCTCACCTTGCTTGAGCCATGTCCACAGGCAATATAATCTGACCTAATGAAGATTAACGGTGGAATTATGTGTTGAATCTGTGTTCAGGCATTTAGCTACATAAAATCAGTTTAAGCATAATAATCACATTTAACAGATATTACAGTTCTCCTAAGAATAACACTATACCATGTGTAGTGTAATGAAAATCAGTATATAAACAAACCCCGATAAATTTCTTCAGTACTTTTGCTCAAGTATCACTAGGTGGTACTTTATAAAATACTGGTATTTTTCAACAGAGAAAGACTGCATTCTTGGAAGACACGAGTTTGTTTATAATGAGAAACTTGAACCCGATCTCTGGTTAATTTTTACACTGACTGAAAACCTCTCCTGGTAATAATACAGTCTGATGACTTACCGTACAGTGTGGAAACATGAGTTCAAGAGTTCATCTACAACAAATGTTACTCAACAGGACAAGAAGAAAATTAAATTAGGAATAAAATAGATGGATGTCCATTCTTGTCAAAATCAAAATGAACTGTCCCAGAAATGAAACTCTACTGTAATTTACTGAAATTACTTCTGTTTCACAAGTTAGATCCATGCTGGGGTCAGTACATTGAAGGCATGCATACGTTTGTCAACTCAATGAGTTTTAATGATTAATGCTGCATTCAGTGCCGTACGTTACACATCTGAACTTTGGAAACACTGGTAAGATTTTCTCCTGAAAGGATAGCCTTGTTTTGTAATGTGTTATTTTTCTTTTATTATCGTATTGCATTATGGTCCATGAGTCTGCAAATAAAGTACATTACCATCATCAAACACTATGATAAGACTGATGGAGTTCAAAGTTTCTGTTTACTCTGATTATTTTATAATAATTAGAATATCTTTGGCACTTTTCTTGAATCAGATTAGAGGCAGATGGAGGTGGAAGTGCTCCGTATTATTTTATAAGCAATGTTTTATAGAGGGAGCTGAGCTGCAAAGCAAAA